CTCTTTCAGTGTCGATAGCTACAAAGGTGCGACCAGTCAGAACGAAGCGCCAACCCAAATAGACGCCTCGATTGTTCTATACACCAAGGAGCTTTGAAGTCGATTCTGTGCTACTGTCAGATTGACTGAACCCGAGTTGTAGAAATGAACGCTTACGCAGCTCTTGCATTCAATTCCTGCTTCGCGTCGTGCTCACGTCTCGAATGTAGAGGCCTCGAATCCCCAGCTTAGCAATATCTTCATCATGTTCCTTAATCAGTAAACAAATGGCCGCCATTGGTATGGCACATTTTCCAATTATCAGATAATGATGATGATGATAGTGATCAAAGTGGCCAGGCTCAATTTCGGAAAGGGTTTATAAAGGAACATTTTACAATAATGTGCGCTAAGTTGTGTGCCAGCCACGTAAATACGTTTTTTTTTTTTTTTTTTAATTGCTTAAGCGGCATTATGCAGGGCACATCTCGGCGGCACAAGCTCTCGTGCACCAAGGGCAGCTGCCAACGCTATGAGCTCGCGCTTCTAGCCTTCGCTGCGGTACAACATAGGGTGGAGTGTAGAAGCAGCAACACTGGTTCATCGGCCGCTCCAGCCTCTCCAACTGCTCCGGCTCGGTCGCCGAATATTGCAGATAATATTTGTAATCGAGTAAACTCCGTGTGGGCGAAGGTATCAAAGGCTCCAACCCGGCTTGGTAATGTACAATTGACTGGACACATTTGAAATGCTACAGAGTTTCCGGAATGCTTGTATTTCGTTGGCGTATGTTGACTACTCGGTCTCATTTCGAGTAACGTTCTTCTTGAGGGGGGGGGGGGGGGGGGGGGGCGGGGGCGGGGGCGGGGCGGGGCGGGGCGGGGCGGGGCGGGGGATCGGTGGCCGAGTGGTGTAGCGCACACAACGTCGGAGCGCTTACGGCGAAAGCTTCCGCTGCAGGATCCTGGGCTCAATCCCTATCCCTAGGGCCCCGTTTCGATCTGAATGAGCATCGTACCGGCGTGCGGTCGTGTATCACTACTGCGTCGTACACGTTAAAGACCCCAGGCTAGCGGTTGTACTGCACTGGCTAAATTGCTCATCTACAGCTGGGAGACTCGTCGCCCGTTGAGGCAGACCAAGTTCTAGGCTGTATAAACATACACACAACCCAATATCTTTTTTTTTTTTTTTTTTAAACGTTATACTAGTACGTAGATCTGCGCTGCGGGTGTTGCTCGGAACATAATTACACAGCTGGAGTTTTTGTTGCGCCTGTGGAAGTTATTCGACGAGCGTCCTGAAGTGCTCAGAGTACTGGCGGCATCAACGCCAAGGAACGAAGTCGTCGCGGCGGATCTGGTTGAGCCAACTTCTCCGACGCTTGCGATTTGCTCTTCCTTGTTGAATTCTGAAAGGCTCTTCGTAGCCGACAAGTTTTCGAAACTCGATTTCCGGATCTCCTCGATGCTGCTCGACGTGCATCGACGGTCTCTCACGCTGTGCGGAAAACGCGCGAAAAAAAAAAAAAAAAACAAACAAAAAACGTCACACCGTTCACGTGACCCACTCCGGCCAACCCAAAAACTCTACCTCCGCTGCGTACAAAAATCGTCTGCTTCAAACGCCATTGCCTTGGAAATTGCCTTCTCAAAGTTTTCACACGCATCCAATATTACGAAAACTTTGCGAAAGTGTTGAGTGCTTTACCAACTTCAGGACGAACTATTTTCGAAAAGTGTGAACTCGGCGTGAATTCTTTGATCGGCCGTGTGTTCGATGTTGAGTCGATCTTCATGCGTTCTCCCAAATGGCGAGCGCCTCCTGGAACCCTGACTCGCGCCGAGCTGCTCTGTCGGCCATGTTGTCGGCAAAACACACGGATCAAAGGATTGCGTTCCTCTGCTGTAGCGTCGACAGCGTTCGGGCTAGTGGGTGAGGCGGGACGGCCGACGGTCCGCTGCTCGCGTTGCCGGCCCTGTCCGGCCGGTAGCGACTGGTAGCCGGCGGCTCTCTTCGGCGAAGCGCGTTCGCAGACCCCCTGGGCTGTGACCGGCTTCGACCGGACGGTTAGCGGGCCTTCCTCCGCGGCAGGCCTGTCTGTTCCAGATGTACTGTACTCAACATACTGGATTAGAAATACATTTGATCGAAAGTCTTTGCGACTCTATCTTAATGAAATTTCTCAGTATCTTGGACTAATTATCCCAAATACATTTTTTTACTGCTTGCAAATATTAATCTCAATTTTTTTTTTTTTTTTTTTTACGGGAATAAGAATTGGCACCCTTCAGCGCAAAGTTCAGAGATTACCAACTTGAACCGGAAGCGATCGAACACAGCAGGAAACAAGCCAGGCCAAAAGATGCAGGCTCAAAACACCAACAACAACAAAAAAAAAGAATAGAAGGATATGAGGAAAAGTCACCAAAAAAGACAAATGATTTTTTTTTTAATGTTTGATCTTGTTAGGGCAAAAATGTCAGTTTCTTTGTCCAGTCTGGTACTCCCGGGAACACTGTCTGGGGTAGGGGAACGGGGATAGCCCCACACTTTCATGAACACGGGGATTGTAACACCAAGACAGGAGCAAGATATAAACACTCAAAATGCTAACAAAGAGTTCTCCCAAAGTTGTGGGCTCTTCTCAAGGAAAGGAAGGGAAGGGGGGGGGGGGGGGGGGGACTCTATTTGTTGCTGCATTTTGGAGCTGGATAAGCTGGGATAAGCTCTCGGCTTATCCAGCCCCAAGATGCAGCAACAAAAGGCCCCCTCCACCTGCCATCCAGATAGCAGTGGGAGAGGGCGAAAAAGGTGCAACAAATGTTTCTCTAGGTCGACCTTTAAGAAAAATCAACCTACTATTAAAAACGATGTTAAAAGGTCTTTTCTAGCGTTTTAGGTGCAGTGCTCCCTTAACTTCTGTGCGTTCAGACGACAATGTTTTCTCGCGGGGTCGGCATGTTTTGTCTTTGCTGTTCCCTGTCACCGCGTCTTGTTTAGAGTTCTGCAGCCAATCATCAATCGGTTGTGCGCATATAGGACACATTTTCTCTCTGGAAATGTTGGGGGACTTGGTTACTGCGCAGGTTCGGCCATAACGTGTCTTGGCTCATTATGGTACAGCGAAGAACATTGGAATGTGGTCGAAAGCGGGAAGTTGATCAGGTTTAAGTTAGCTCACGGCTGTGCGTACCGAATTTATTGGAAAACCGTCGGTGCCAGGGATGAGAAGAAAGCGACGCGGGCCTTTGTTAATAAATTTTTATGGCTGCACTTCTCGAAGCGGCGTACCACGGCTGGTCAACCGCGAGTGGAGACGGCCAACAATGTCAGACTCTAAAAGAAAGTTAGTGGCTCATAAAGAGCAAGAAAAGCCGGTTGCGTTTGGTTTTCTCATCATAATTGATTGATTTTGGATTCGCAATGATTGGGAGTTGGCCAGAACACAAACAGCTGGATTGATCTGCACCAATGCTTGTTGCATGAAATGTATGTCTGAGCATCATATGCCCTCTTTTCAGGTATGAAGGTCACCTGACGGGATGACGGGGTCCCACTGCAGCACCACGGCCGTATCGGGCCGCGTCGGCGAAGGACTGGCCAGCACCCTCTGAAAGGTGACTCTTTTCAAGTTGTGTGCTCGTGAAGTTTGAATGTAGTGTCGCCCTATTCGTGCTCGAGAGCTTCGACACACAAGCATCAAGGCTCAGATATGCGGGATATCAGTCTTACCTGTTGACGACAGTTGCTGAGAGCCTGCTTAAGAAAACACGTGAGGAAACGACCCAGCAGGCTCATAGGGTTAACAAAAAAGTAACCGTTTTACCATACCTGCACAAGATTTCGCACAACTTAAAGAAAGTTGGGCGAAGGGTTGGTGTTGATGTCGTTTTTACTGCTCCGGAACAGCTGTCTGGGCTGTGCAGAAAAGTAAACTCCTGTTCTAAAGGAAAGCAGGGTTGCACAAAAAAACACCACGACCGATTAGTGAACTGTGTGGAGGGAGTGGTGTACTCTATTCCCCTCTCGTGCGGCAGGAGATACGTCGGGCAGACGGGGCGCTGCCTCAATGATCGCTTGCGAGAACATAAGTATAATGTCTTTAGAGTTGTGTCAGGTCACCTTGGCCTGCATTACCGTGACTGCTGCTGCACTCCCGTCTTCGACAAGTGCCAAGTGATCAAGAAAAATAAAGACAAACTCGCTCGAGAAATCATTGAGGCGCGGGAAATTGGAAAAATGGGGGAAAAACTGTGTCAGCACTCCTTCCATATGTTTATCCGAAAAGGAATGTTGCTTTCTTGACACATAGTGACAGCACATAATGGTGGCTAAGGAGCACGTGGCGCCCATGACATGTATTTTATTTTTATTTGTGTGTCATGACATTATAATATTTATACTTCATGTTAGCACGAATAAACTTTAGTTGTAAGTCAGCGCCTTGTTCGTCTGCCTTCTTGTTCTTGTCTGTGTCCCTGCGCTGTTTTAATATTTAATTATGAAATACCAACTAGCCCAAACTTCTACGTTAGTCAAGTGCGTGAATCACCCTTTAAGGCTGAACTCCATGGAGTGAATATGCGGCGAAGAACTGACTAACTTTGCAACAGTCACTCTTCTGATGCCACCCACAGAGCGAACGCCGTTGGACGAAATTCGTCGCTTTTTTCGCTCCATAGAGTCTAGCCTTTATGCTGAGACTCCATGCAGCCAATGCTAAAAGTGCGAGAGCTCGAGATTTTGGCTTTGAAAGGTTCTTTCGAAGAATGAGCTCTTACTAGAAAGGCGCGTATTAAAGCAGTGGCTGTGGCTAGCTGGCTCTCATTGCTTTGGCTGTAGACGTACAGGGGGCACATGCAGGGCCAGCTCGTTAGCTGTCAGTTGTGCGAGGGGAGCGATTCTCGGTTTATGACAGTCTGCCTTTGCTGCGGGATGCGTCTCGGCCTCTAGTTGTGCTGCCGATGGATGGCCTGCTTTGGCCTTGGGCTGAGCCGGGGTCGTGTGCGTGCAGGCGGCGCATTCGGACAGGCGATGGCGGAGCACAGCGAGCTGGTCACCGAGATGTGCGTGGTGGAGAAGATGAGCACGCAGGAGCGGCTCAAGCACGCTCGCAAGCGGCGCCAGCAGCAGCTGAAGAAGTGGACCCAGCACGAGCGGGACCTGCAGAAGGGCAAGGGCAAGGCTGGGCCCCGGGCCGCCTTGCGGGCCGGTGCACCTGCCCAGGAGTACAAGGTCCACTTTGTGCCCAGCGTCATGTTGCTGGAGGCCGCCGCCAGGAACGACGTTGACGAAGGTGGGTGGCTCTTGAGCACTGCTCACCCCGGCGACTCTTGAGCATTCCTTTCGGGGACGGGAGACGCTCTCCGTGCGCTACTCTGAGACCGCATGTTTAAGAGGAGACTCCCTCCCTTTAATCGCCTCACCCTGTTTTTATGGTTGGGAGCGCCTGAGTCAATTTAGGATTGTGCCCTTCTAGATTGTGCCATTTTGTACTACAGACCTTTGCTGCAGGTGGTTGGTACAGTTGTTGTCTTAGTAGCTCTTGCTTGGCAAGCTCCCCCAAAACTGAGGCCGAGATTTCGGCTGTAGGTACCGGTGCACGCAGTCTTCCAGTAAGGTGCCGCTCTTCGGTATCCGGCGCCCATTCTAGGCACAGTTGACTAGCATTGGTGTCGGCCCACACGTGCTACGAAGCGGATGATTCTAACGACACTCACGAGGCTGTTCGGGTGTGTGCTGCGAAGGAGCAGTGTTTATGCCGCCGTGGTGCTGCTCATGCAACATTACACACTGCGAGGACCCGCTTCAGGATGCCCCGCCGAGGCGGTGGCCATGTCTGGAGATATGTACGTAGATGCTTCTTTCAAAAAAGACAAATGGCGCGTGACTCTTTTGGCCCCCTTCTGGACAAACTTTGCCGTAGCTCGAGGGTCCTCCTCGGGAGAATTCTCCGACGGCCCGCGAGTCTCCGGTCCGGCCCCTCGGAGTTGGCCATGGATTCCGAGAGCAGTCGATTTGACACGACATCTGATGCGCTCTGATCTGAATTGAGTGGAGTGGACGAATGGATCATTTTCTGTCCGTGTAACCTTTTTAGAGCCAGGATTTTTCTTGTGCCTCTTCATTGAGCATCTCCTCCTGCGGACGTCGGAGAAACGCTTTTTGAGCCGACCTTGTAAACAAATGTGTTTTGGCTGGAGACTGTGAGAATTAACGCCATAACTGTGTCCCTTAAGGGTGGTCCACACACTTGCGACTGACTACGACCTAATCGGATACAACCGGTTTTAAGCTGCTTACGACCGTGCTGCGCGATCTGTCACAAGCTGCCGTAAGCAGATTAAAAACTGGATGTGTCGGAGTCGGTTGTAAGTGTGTGTACCAGCGTAAGGCTGGTTCACACTGTTGCAACGACCGAATCCATCAAAATGGGGGTTTAAGCTGCTTATGACCGCCATTGCTGCTCCGCAGCATTGTTGTAAGCCTTCACAAGAGGCTTAAGAAATGGTTTTGTCGAACTCGGTAGTAGTCGTTTGCAACAGTGTGAATCAGCCTTAAAGGCCCGTTCACACACTTGCAACCGAGTATGACCGAACGAGACAAGACCGTTTTTTGAGTTTTTGTTTACTTGACTCGCGACGAATGAGTGTTCCAGTTATCGTTGAAAGAAACCCACACGCTTCTGATGAACGAACAGGGCTCGAAACGTCGCAGCCGATCTCTGTAGCCTCAGATTGCTGTCGAACACACGTCACTCGCGCCCCGTCTCCTCCTCGTCGACAACGCAGCTGCACCGTCCGTGTCCTTGGTGAAGAGCGTAGTGAAGCTTCCTGCGATCGGGCAGCCGTGAGACAACCCACGTGCGCGCGCTCAGAGGGTGGACCTCCCCTTGGACGCGCGGACCGGGCAGCTCGTCTCTCGGAGCTCTCCGGGTGCCCAGAGATAGTCTGCTGGGAGACGTCACCTATGAGCTGGGAGTTTAATCATTCCACTGGCCGCTTGCACGTGACGCAGCTTCGCTTCATTGTTGTGTCGTCCAGTCACGTTGTCAAAGTTTCTCGCATCGCGAGTTGAGGATTGCAGCTCATGAGCGATTCCTTCCACTACTTTCGGTGCGCCCAACTCCGGAGCTGTGGAGTCGAGTTTTCGTGCAGCGAGTTTTGGGATGGTGCTAGAGTCATGATGAGCGGGGGGACCACTAGCAAGTCTCCGCCGCTGAAAAAAAAATGTTGAGGAAGTTTTGTTGTGTACGGTTTTGCTGGTTTTGGGTTGCTGAAAAGTTCTGAAGGTAGAGCGAATAACGCCTTCTGATTTTGTTACCAGGTCGTTCTCTTTTAAAGTGATGGCTTTACCGTGACACTTGGCAAAGATTTCGAGCTTGTGGGCTGTTGTCACCGCCATGGAAAAACCTCTTCTCTCCCCTATTGGCCTCTAGGAGGGGGAATTTGGGACTTTCCGTCGGCTGGGCTGCGTGAAGAGAGGAAAGAGGGCAACCCTAAGTACGTAGGTTGGACATTTACATGTACGTTTTAAAAAATCACAAAAGTGACATATTGTCGTCTGATTGATGGAGGCGATTGCCTCCACCAATCAGACACCGATACATCACTTCCGTGACCTTTTAACACATACATGTAAATGCCCAACCTAGGCACCCAGGCATATTGCCAAGAATGGCGCAACGAGGGGAGAATCTTCGTGTCACTTGGTTCCAACGGATGTTTCCAAATATTCCTCACGTTAAGCGAAATCCCACTTTGGCATTATCCAGTTGCTTGCATAATTTGGATGGTTTTAGAAACTTCCACCGCGCTCACCCACTTTCTTCACGGACCACTGGTGGCAGTCATCAGTGGCATCCACGACGGCTATAAGAATTAAGCATGTCGAACCTCTGTCCTCAGGTATGTGACGGCACCATTCCACCCGCATTGCGCGACTGTGCTACGACTATCACTTTCGTTTCTTCGCACATTGTGGGCGTAAAATATTACTTATTTCTGGCCGTGTTCTAGTCGCTTGTTCGGGATATCGTGTCTTTCACTGATTGGGGGCAGCTTACGCGATACTGAAGGTGGGAACAGCGCCTAACCGATCTCAATCTTATGCAGTCCTTTGGTGTCCCTGGCCTCAAAAACTTTTCTGTCGTGTCGTGCTTTCCCCTCTAAGCTACACGACCCGAAGTTGCTGCACCCCAGGAGTGGCTCCATCCATGCATGAGGTGGGGCCTACGTGGGTAGAGTGGGCTGGGGCAACACCTATAACATTCCGTGGGTCCCGCTTTGGCTACCGGTGGGCATGCCTCACTTGGGCTTTCCATGCAATGCACCGTAGTCACTGACAAGTCAAAATCATTTTTTTTTTTTTTTAATTATCTGACCTTGATGAAAACGGTGCCTAGACATTACCCCCAAAATTCGAAACTTGGGAGCTCAGTATTTGTGATGTAAAAAAACAATTTCCAAAAGCCGAATTTGAAGTTCCTACGCGATCCATGCCAGTGCAGTGACGTCAAAGATTGAGTCCTCCTACAACTCGAGTTTCTCGTTCTTCCGTGTCGTGTTCGCCCACGTCCCGCGATCAACCGCTCTGCGAGTGCCGCCTATCGCTGTGAGCAGATGACATTTCACTTTCGCGTTTGAAGTTCTTTTAGGGCCCTTTCAGCGATCTCGAATTCTGTGAAACGGTGTGAGGTCGAAGCGAACGTGCCTTGGGCTTTTGTGAGCGACACGAGGGGCCACGTCATCGCGCCGGTTCTGCATGAACGGCTCTCCCGGCGAGTCACAACCACAACTATGGTACACAGACACCAAACCCCGTTGTTTTGACTGTTTGACGATTTCCTTTTAGAAGTCTGAGAGGTCGCCTGGCACCTAAAAAAGAGAACTTGGTCAGATTCCTCTACTCACCGATCACCCTCTGCTACATGTGTCGAGTGCCACCATGTTTATTAAGGGAGGATAAAAAGCCAGGGAGGTGACATCACTCCGGACTTTGATTTCCGGTATTTCAAAAAGAAGGGTTGAGTGCATTCGCAATTGCTATAGAATATATGTTTTACGAATGCCGTTACTAAATGTTATAGAAATGTTGCTTACAAAGCTTCTAAATTCCATTATCAGTTACTTCACAAATAAAAAGAAGCGTGGAGGTGAAGAGCGGGAGAGAAGGGCGCCAAAAATCAAGATTCGTGCGCACGCGAGAAATAATTGTTTTTGCGTTCCGATATTTTTTGTTTGCGAGTCTATGACTACAACTTACAATGTTTTTAACAGCAAAAACATATACGACCTTTGGGGTGTCGGTGCCCTTTTGAAGGGTAACTCCAGTCAATATTTTTTGATTTGGGGTTATGACTGTTTTCAGCTAAAGTCCCTGAATTACAAAGTATATTTTTTTTCTTTCAATATTGTGTGTCGTTTTATAAATATCACGGCTCAAAATTTAGTTTCGGGCCTCTACGGCAAAACGGAAACTATCTGCTGGAGGGATGGCAGCACTGATCACCAGCCGTACGGGCACGACGTGATGTCCCAAGCGTGCTGTGGTATGCGGCACAACCAATCAACCCCAGCTCCACCGTGACCTGACGTCACGAGGGTGCTGCGCCAGTGTGCCTTGACTAAAATCTAACCTGCTTGCCGCCTGCTAAAGAGCAGCTGGTCGCATATTTAAAATAGGTTTTAGTGGAGTACGTGGTTTCACTTTGACCTAATATTTCGACTGGGGTCGTATTTTGTGCCACTAAAGCAGTGATGGAATTGCTGCGCCGACTGCGCCAAACTGCGCCAAGGGGCTAACCCTGCTACATCCTGCTATATTTTGCCAAAATATGGGTAATCTGCGCCAATCCTGCGCCAAAAAACCAATTTCGGTCGTCTTTCAAAACCAAAACTAAACTGAATACAGTAATTGAGTGTGCGTGGGCTAGGTGGTGCTCTCGTCGTCTCGTCTCACGTCTCTTTAAAAAAATTTCAACGATAGACGCGGGCGTGTGTGGACGCTCCAACAGTATGCGTGCCGTTTACCAGGCGAGCTATGTCGTCGTACAGTGCAACGAAACAACGTTTTTGTGCGGCGGGAGTAACTTTGTTAGCTGAAGCACTCGCTCCTGAATGCAACGGCCGTGGGAAAACTATATTTGCTTCCTGTGGTGGTCGCGCGACGCCAGGTATTGTCTCTGCAGATATGGCACTTTCAAAACTGAAATGTAAGGACTGCCGCATATTCATCATCATTCCTTTTCTTGTTTAAATCATTTGCTACTACAAGAATCCCTCCTTAACCCACAGA